TTTTAAAGTTTGTAGTGCTTTAAAACTCGTTGACAAAGCCTGGCAAGAAGTGACTCAAAGAACCCTGATCTCTGGCTGGAGAAAATTGTGGCCTGAATGTGTGACAGAACTAGACTTTGAGGAGTTTGAGCCTGTAAATCATGTGCCTATTGTTGAGGAAATTGTTACTCTGGGCCGGCAAATGGGCTTGGAATTGGATGGTGATGATCTTGAAGAGTTAGTGGAAGAACACAACGAAGAACTGACCACCGAAGAACTCCAAGCCCTTCAAAAGAAACAGCAAGAAGACCCAGCTCAGGATGTTTCTCCAGTGGAGGAGGAGGAGGCAGTACAGAATGTCCCTTCTGCAACCATTAAGAAGTGGTGTCAGATGTGGAAAGAAATGCAAACTTTTATTGAAAAGTCTCACCCAGAGAAAGCTGTAGTAGGCCGTTGCATTAATCTTTTTAATGACAATGAGATGCCTCACTACTGAGACATCTTGCGAAGAAGGGAAAACAATCTTCCATGGGCAGATTTGTTGTGAGAACATCGAGCAGTGAGCCACAATCAGGACCTAGTGGTATGCAGGCAAAACGTGCCAGAGAATGCACTCCAGAGAGGTCCTCACTGCCTGATGTTATAATGGAAGGGGACTCCCCTTCCAAACAGTAACACCTCTCCTCCTCCCCCTCATCACCATCTTCCATACGCCTACAGCATTCAACCGCAAGGGTAAGTAATAACGTGAACATAGTTTTTTAGGTTTATTTAGATGAATTAAGTATAAAATTTAGTTTGAAGTGAGGTTTTTGGATAGTCAGGAACGGATTAATTCATTTCTGATTATTTCTTATGGGGAAATTAGCTTCGGTTTACGAGTTTTCGGGTTACGAGCCGTCTCCAGGAACGGATTAAAATCTTAACCACCGTGCTGCGCCGAGTTTATTGTGAAATTCCCCGTGCGCATGAAATAAAGTGTTCCCCAAAAAATTGCTTTTCCATGTAAAATGATAAATTCCCATCCCTGAACATGTCTATGTAAAAATAAATACCAAATTCCACTTACTTTGGCAGTGGGGATGTGGACAAAGGTGCGCTATAATGTCATCAGGGCCTGGTCGCCCGTGCATGAATCGCCCAGACACAGTCGCGCAGGGCATTCAAGCACCAGGTGTTGCCACAAATGTATTTTAAATTATTTGTTCTATGTATTTTTAATGTGGTTTTTTTGTTTTTTCTATGTATTTCCAATGTGGTTTTATTTGTTTTTTCTATGTATTTCCAATGTGGTTTTATTTGTTTTTTTATCATATATGATGCATATTTGTATCCTTTACAATATGTATACAGTAGAACGTTCATAATGTTCCATGGAACTGTGATACATGTGTCAGTAATGTGTCCACAATAAATGTTTATTGTCGCAATATTACTTGTTAAAAATTCCCTAAAATTACAATATGTACAGTTTCACACACTATTTACACAGTAACACATTGTATTACATACTAAGTACTTCGGAAGTGAGTAATAATAAACGAAGTAGTCCATGGTACACAGCGCGACTTCGCTCTCAGTGCACCAGGTACAGATAAAATTTCGCTTCCCGTTTCTTCATTCTGTGTGCTTGCAAATAACGCACTCACATACACCCATGGCTTTAGTACTTGTAGGTTGTATGTAGCCAAGCTTGTAAAGCATAAAGTAGTATTGAAAAGATTATAGGAAAAGTTCAATTTGTAAGGTAGTCTGGAAAAGATCGCTTTGTATGGTCCCACACCGGAAGAGATTCAGCTTGCCTCAAAGAGTGTCCGTCAGTCAGAAAGAGATTCAGCTAGCCTCAAAAAGTGTCCGTCAGGAAGAGATTCAGCTATTCTTGAAAATATGTATAGAAAACACCACCATGGAAGCTGCTAACACTGTTCATCTATGCTACTTGTATCAGATGCATCATCACTGAATGCAGAAAACGATTCATCTATGTATCATCTAAATAAATTGGAGATAGCAAAGGATTGCAAGGGCGACACTCAGAGTTACAACTGGATACGCTCGCTGTATCATCCTCATTGGTGCTGTATCACTTGCATCCGACCTTTGTGTTAGGTTCTTATTGCACCTAGCTTCACCAATATTATGACCCTTATGTTCTTCAAACAATAAGGTTTGAATTTTACCGACAGAGCATTATCTTTCAACATCGCGTCAGACAGGTGTTTGGGAGCCATAGTGCTCCACCCATGGTTGCTCATTCAGTACTAACCCAGCCAACAGCCCTAGGGCATTCTGGGAATTTTTTCCAAGATGGCTGCCTCTCACTAGAGGTCCTATGAGACCATTTCGTACACAACCAACCTCGCACACATTTAGAATGGGTACGGAGAAATCAAAACGAGTTTTCTTGGTTGGTGCAGTTTCCCGCTGACCGAGAATACTTGGTTGGAGCAGTTAAGGGGTTAAACCAAAGTACCCCTGTATGTACTATTTTCAGGAATAAGTTCCCCTTCCCTTTGTTCTTTACACCCCCTTCCTTGAATGATTTTGTTGCTTTGTCTTTATGTACCATTTCACAAGCTTTCAAGTCCTTGACACTATAGAAAAAAGTCCTCTTTTAAGAACCCTTAACATGCTCGGGGTTTAATATCCTGTCATCCCCACAGGCGCATGTCATTTTGAAAAAAAAAAAAAATTATTTTTTCTTCCTAACCTGTTAATTTGTGTTCACTGATCACGGGAAAAATAATAAAAAAATCGTAAGTGGCATATATTGCCCGCTATAGGGCGGGGAAGTCTGGCAAATTATAGGCGCTGACTCAGCATGCGTCCCAGGCGGTCTGTTGCTCGCCAGCTGTCAGGCCGGAGTTGCCACAAAGAGATAATTACCTAATTATTTCAATGTCTCTGATTGATTTTTCATAGTTTTTTTGCTGTAATATTATTCAATAGTGTGTAGTTTGATATATTTATATAATAAAATGAGTGAATCATTGCTGTACTCAAAAATATGGTGTGCATATTGTTGATTCAATTATGTTCATCAATCAGTGAACAAATACTTTGTCGGTTATTACACTATAAGCACAGGTTATATATAAGTATCTGCATGTTTTGTTCACTATAACGAACCACTAAGTAGCTATTATGAGTCAAAAAGTAACGAGGAGTGACCGCCGTGTACCAGCCAGCCACTCCCGCCCTCCCTCCAGTCATCTGACTCACCCACATTCTCCTCCCACAATACTGTTTTTGCTATAATTCACTATATACAGACGTTATATATAAGTATCTACATGTTTTGTTCACCATAACTGTACATCTAAGCTTGTATGGTGAGTAAAGGCACAAAGACGTAGGACCTCACACAGTCAGCTGATGGCTGCCGCCCTCAAGGCCAGACGCACTAATATTTCTCCTCCAACAATACTGTGTGGTGTTATTACGCTATATATCTTATATACAGACGTTATATATAAGTATTTACATGTTTTGTTCACCATAACTGTACATCTAAGCTTGTATGGTGAGTAAAGGCACAAAGACGTAGGACCTCACACAGTCAGCTGATGGCTGCCGCCCTCAAGGCCAGACGCACTAATATTTCTCCTCCAACAATACTGTGTGGTGTTATTACGCTATATACACACATTATATATAAATATCTACCTGTTTTATTCACCATACTTGTACAAATAAACTGGTATGGTGCCCAAAGACCATCGTGGTAACCAGTAAACAACACCGTCGTCTGCACGGTGGCGTCGTGCAGACGACGCCACCGCCCTCACCAAAATGGCGGCTCCAAACCTTCTCTTGCTGTTTATACCCTCTATACACACGTTATATATAAGTATCTACATTTGTGTTCACCATAGCGAACCACTAAGCTGGTATGCTGAGTGCAGTCAATAAAAGGTGGCCACACACAGTCAGAAGACATCGCCACCACCCTCCCTCCCACAGCATTACTCCTCCCTCCATGGCGCACAGCGCTAAATATCACCACAATCCTGCTGTTATCAGAACCCTGGTCAGTTTTATCACAGTCAGGGGTCTTCTGTAATAATATCGCTACATAATAGCATGAACAAGTATATTTTGGCATTTTTAGGCGATGCTGTGATCACAAGCTGAACAGCAGTGCTGTTAGCTCATGCTGCGTGCGTCAGGTTTGGTTGCTCACTCAATACTGAGGCCAATAACACCCGGGAGTTTGGCCCACGATTTTTAAAAAAAAATGGCGTCTGTTTACAAGAGCCCTGATGAAGGTGTGGTGAACCCCGTGTATCCGCGGGCCGTTTAAATCTTGCGTAGTACTCCAACACGTCATATGATGCGATGGCAGTTGACTGGAACAACGTCCAACACGTCATATGACGTGATGCGCACTTTAAGGGTTAAGGGCACTAAAAAATTTGCAAAAGAGTGCAAAAGACTTGGTGTAATTATTTACATAAATTTCACAAATGCATATGCAGGCGGGTCAACTCAATTCACAAATGCATAATTGTGAAAGTATTTTATCTTAAAATAAGTATATTTATCAAACTCATTTACATAAAGACATTGATAATTGCACACGAGAAGCAGAGATAAAAAAAGAAATTATTGTTTACAGTTTATCAAATGTTTGTTTTGCCAAAGCGACTAATAATGGCAGTTTAACCTCATGTATCCTCCTCCCATTCTCTTCCATATCCTTAACATTATTTCCTATGATTCCACATATTGTGACCATTCACACAGCTTCTATCACCCACTACTACACCTTAAAAACACCAAAGTATTACAACTTGCATTTCTCCTGCAATACAAAAAATGCTTCCTACCATATTTTGCCACATTCCACACGCAAATTGGTTCTCATTCATCAATACTGTATATGTAAATTGTTATGACTATTCTTGTTAACTGTTAGAAATGCATTTGCAACCTCCTTGCAACTGCTGCAAATTTGTTCAACAGGCCATCTTCATTGATGGTTTATCATGTACTGCACACACAAACAAATTACAACTTACAAGCATCAGAGAAGTACCACAAAACCATGACTGGCCACTGTAAAGTCTTGAAGATTACAGAGAGATGACAACATACAAGTACTGTAGCAAACTTCAGACAAATTTTGTTCTCAATGAACACAAATGACACTGATATTATTTACAGCCAGCATTTACTGAAACACTTTCTTCACCATATAAGCAAAAGTCATATTAATTATTGTTCATATTCAATAAAGAGGTTAATAGGACACCAAGAGAGAGCAATCACTTTAACACAGTAAAAATAACACATCCACGCAGCTCAGGAGAGACAACAGGATGCCATTGCAGATAATACTGGAAAGTGAAGCTCTAGTTACCACAGATTAGTTATCAGGCAGTGCTTGTGAACTTCATGTAGGGGAGCCATGTCCATGTGGGAATTATCATTAATTACATACAACAGGCCACTTTCACTATTGTGAAGCATATATGAAAGCATCAAGCAAAATACAGTTCAGCATTTACATTTCATGAAAAATAACAGATACAGTAGTTAAATTGTGATTACTGGAATCATCGTGACGCGTTAAATGAAGTCAAGGACTTTAATATATTGGGAGAACAGTGCAAGGATGGGAGAGAGTAGTAGACGGATGGGAGAGAATAGTACACGGGTAGGAGAGAGTAGTACACGGATGGGAGACAGTAGTAGACGGATGGGAGAGAGTAGTGCAAGGATGGCAGAGAGTAGTGCAAGGATGGCAGAGAGTAGTGCAAGGATGGGAGAGAGTAGTGCAAGGATGGGAGAGAGTAGTGCAAGGATGGGAGAGAGTAGTGCAAGGATGGGAGAGAGTAGTACAAGGATGGGAGAGAGTAGTGCAAGGATGGGAGAGAGTAGTGCAAGGATGGGAGAGAGTAGTACACGGATTGGAGAGAGTAGTGCAAGGATGGGAGAGAGTAGTGCAAGGATGGGAGAGAGTAGTGCAAGGATGGGAGAGAGTAGTGCAAGGATGGGTGAGAGTAGTGCAAGGATGGGTGAGAGTAGTGCAAGAATGGGAGAGAGTAGTGCAAGGGGGAGAGCAGTACAAGGGGGAGAGCAGTACAAGGGGGAGAGCAGTACAAGGGAGAGAGCAGTACAAGGGGGAGAGCAGTACAAGGGGGAGAGCAGTACAAGGGGGAGAGCAGTACAAGGGGGAGAGCAGTACAAGGGGGAGAGCAGTACAAGGGGAGAGAGCAGTACAAGGGGAGAGAGCAGTACAAGGGAGAGAGCAGTACAAGGGGGAGAGCAGTACAAGGGGGAGAGCAGTACAAGGGGGAGAGCAGTACAAGGGAGAGAGCAGTACAAGGGAGAGAGCAGTACAAGGGGGAGAGCAGTACAAGGGAGAGAGCAGTACAAGGGGGAGAGCAGTACAAGGGGGAGAGCAGTACAAGGGGGAGAGCAGTACAAGGGGGAGAGCAGTACAAGGGGGAGAGCAGTACAAGGGGGAGAGCAGTACAAGGGGGAGAGCAGTACAGCAGTACAAGGGGAGAGCAGTACAAGGGGGAGAGCAGTACAAGGGGGAGAGCAGTACAAGGGGGAGAGCAGTACAAGGGGGAGAGCAGTACAAGGGGGAGAGCAGTACAAGGGGAGAGAGCAGTACAAGGGGGAGAGCAGTACAAGGGGGAGAGCAGTACAAGGGGGAGAGCAGTACAAGGGGGAGGGAGAGCAGTACAAGGGGGAGAGCAGTACAAGGGGGAGAGCAGTACAAGGGAGAGAGCAGTACAAGGGAGAGAGCAGTACAAGGGGGAGAGCAGTACAAGGGGGAGAGCAGTACAAGGGGGAGAGCAGTACAAGGGGGAGAGCAGTACAAGGGAGAGAGCAGTACAAGGGGGAGAGCAGTACAAGGGGGAGAGCAGTACAAGGGAGAGAGCAGTACAAGGGGGAGAGCAGTACAGAGAGCAGTACAAGGGAGGGAGAGCAGTACAAGGGGGAGAGCAGTACAAGGGAGAGAGCAGTACAAGGGGGAGAGCAGTACAAGGGGGAGAGCAGTACAAGGGGGAGAGCAGTACAAGGGGGAGAGCAGTACAAGGGAGAGAGCAGTACAAGGGAGAGAGCAGTACAAGGGAGAGAGCAGTACAAGAGGGGAGAGCAGTACAAGGGGGAGAGCAGTACAAGGGAGAGAGCAGTACAAGGGGGAGAGCAGTACAAGGGAGAGAGCAGTACAAGGAGGAGAGCAGTACAAGGGGAGAGCAGTACAAGGGGAGAGAGCAGTACAAGGGGGAGAGCAGTACAAGGGGGAGAGCAGTACAAGGGGGAGAGCAGTACAAGGGGGAGAGCAGTACAAGGGGGAGAGCAGTACAAGCAGGGGAGAGCAGTACAAGGGGGAGAGCAGTACAAGGGGGAGAGCAGTACAAGGGAGAGAGCAGTACAAGGGGGAGAGCAGTACAAGGGGGAGAGCAGTACAAGGGAGAGAGCAGTACAAGGGAGAGAGCAGTACAAGGGAGAGAGCAGTACAAGGGAGAGAGCAGTACAAGGGAGAGAGCAGTACAAGGGAGAGAGCAGTACAAGGGGGAGAGCAGTACAAGGGGAGAGAGCAGTACAAGGGGGAGAGCAGTACAAGGGGGAGAGCAGTACAAGGGAGAGAGCAGTACAAGGGGGAGAGCAGTACAAGGGGGAGAGCAGTACAAGGGAGAGAGCAGTACAAGGGGGAGAGCAGTACAAGGGGAGAGCAGTACAGAGAGCAGTACAAGGGGGAGAGCAGTACAAGGGGGAGAGCAGTACAAGGGGGAGAGCAGTACAAGGGAGAGAGCAGTACAAGGGAGAGAGCAGTACAAGGGGGAGAGCAGTACAAGGGGGAGAGCAGTACAAGGGGGAGAGCAGTACAAGGGAGAGAGCAGTACAAGGGGGAGAGCAGTACAAGGGGAGAGAGCAGTACAAGGGAGAGAGCAGTACAAGGGGGAGAGCAGTACAAGGGGAGAGAGCAGTACAAGGGGGAGAGAGCAGTACAAGGGAGAGAGCAGTACAAGGGAGAGAGCAGTACAAGGGGGAGAGCAGTACAAGGAGGGAGAGCAGTACAAGGGGGAGAGCAGTACAAGGGGGAGAGCAGTACAAGGGGGAGAGCAGTACAAGGGAGAGAGCAGTACAAGGGAGAGAGCAGTACAAGGGAGAGAGCAGTACAAGGGAGAGAGCAGTACAAGGGAGAGAGCAGTACAAGGGGGAGAGCAGTACAAGGGGAGAGAGCAGTACAAGGGAGAGAGCAGTACAAGGGGAGAGCAGTACAAGGGAGAGAGCAGTACAAGGGGGAGAGCAGTACAAGGGGGAGAGCAGTACAAGGGAGAGAGCAGTACAAGGGAGAGAGCAGTACAAGGGGGAGAGCAGTACAAGGGAGAGAGCAGTACAAGGGGAGAGCAGTACAAGGGAGAGAGCAGTACAAGGGGGAGAGCAGTACAAGGGAGAGAGCAGTACAAGGGAGAGAGCAGTACAAGGGGGAGAGCAGTACAAGGGAGAGAGCAGTACAAGGGGGAGAGCAGTACAAGGGGGAGAGCAGTACAAGGGAGAGAGCAGTACAAGGGAGAGAGCAGTACAAGGGAGAGAGCAGTACAAGGGAGAGAGCAGTACAAGGGAGAGAGCAGTACAAGGGAGAGAGCAGTACAAGGGAGAGAGCAGTACAAGGGAGAGAGCAGTACAAGGGAGAGAGCAGTACAAGGGAGAGAGCAGTACAAGGGAGAGAGCAGTACAAGGGAGAGAGCAGTACAAGGGAGAGAGCAGTACAAGGGAGAGAGCAGTACAAGGGGGAGAGCAGTACAAGGGGGAGAGCAGTACAAGGGGGAGAGCAGTACAAGGGGAGAGCAGTACAAGGGGGAGAGCAGTACAAGGGGGAGAGCAGTACAAGGGGGAGAGCAGTACAAGGGGGAGAGCAGTACAAGGGAGAGAGCAGTACAAGGGAGAGAGCAGTACAAGGGAGAGAGCAGTACAAGGGAGAGAGCAGTACAAGGGGGAGAGCAGTACAAGGGGGAGAGCAGTACAAGGGGGAGAGCAGTACAAGGGGGAGAGCAGTACAAGGGGGAGAGCAGTACAAGGGGGAGAGCAGTACAAGGGGATAGCAGTACAAGGGGAGAGCAGTACAAGGGGAGAGCAGTACAAGGGGGAGAGCAGTACAAGGGGGAGAGCAGTACAAGGGGGAGAGCAGTACAAGGGGGAGAGCAGTACAAGGGGGAGAGCAGTACAAGGGGGAGAGCAGTACAAGGGAGAGAGCAGTACAAGAGAGAGAGCAGTACAAGGGAGAGAGCAGTACAAGGGGGAGAGCAGTACAAGGGAGAGAGCAGTACAAGGGAGAGAGCAGTACAAGGGAGAGAGCAGTACAAGGGAGAGAGCAGTACAAGGGAGAGAGCAGTGCAAGGGAGAGAGCAGTACAAGGGGGAGAGCAGTACAAGGGAGAGAGCGGTACAAGGGAGAGAGCAGTACAAGGGGGAGAGCAGTACTGTACAATGAAGAAAGTGATGGGGTCCCTAAGAGGAATAATGAAGCATAAAATTGTTTCTGTAATTACCTAAGTGTAATTACCTAAGTGTAGTTACAGGATGAGAGCTACGCTCGTGGTGTCCCGTCTTCCCAGCACTCTTTGTCATATAACGCTTTGAAACTACTGACGGTCTTGGCCTCCACCACCTTCTCACTTAACTTGTTCCAACCGTCTACCACTCTATTTGCGAAGGTGAATTTTCTTATATTTCTTCGGCAACTGTGTTTAGCTAGTTTAAATCTATGGCCTCTTGTTCTTGAAGTTCCAGGTCTCAGGAAGTCTTCCCTGTCGATTTTATCAATTCCTGTTACTATTTTGTACGTAGTGATCATATCACCTCTTTTTCTTCTGTCTTCTAGTTTTGGCATATTTAATGCTTCTAACCTCTCCTCGTAGCTCTTGCCCTTCAGTTCTGGGAGCCACTTAGTAGCATGTCTTTGCACCTTTTCCAGTTTGTTGATGTGCTTCTTAAGATATGGGCACCACACAACAGCTGCATATTCTAGCTTTGGCCTAACAAAAGTCATGAACAATTTCTTTAGTATATCGCCATCCATGTATTTAAATGCAATTCTGAAGTTAGAAAGCATTGCATAGGCTCCTTGCACAATATTCTTATGTGGTCCTCAGGTGATAGTTTTCTATCTAGAACCACTCCTAGATCTCTTTCTTTATCAGAATTCTTTAAAGATTTCTCACATAATATATAGGTTGTGTGGGGTCTATGTTCTCCTATTCCACATTCCATAACATGACATTTATTAACATTAAATTCCATTTGCCAAGTGGTGCTCCATATACTTATTTTGTCCAGGTCTTCTTGAAGGGCATGACAATCATCT